CCGTAAAAGGTAAAATGTTATACCACCAAATAGTTATCGATTGTGAGGGGAGAAAATTAATTTTGCAAGTTTTATTTTGCTGGCTGAATTTAGAAAAATGCAATTTAGAAGTTGTTTTGATCACTACCAGAAAGAAGTGGGCGTTGCGAAAAGATAGTGCCAGTCTCTGAATCGTTTGGGAGTAATTTAAAAATTTTAAGAATGATAGATTTAACTGTTAACGCCCACTTATTTCATTCAAACGTGACAAAAACATAAGCAACTTTTTAGTCAGGAGTTCGTTTCAAAACAATGACCAATCTGGAACTTTCAAATGCGCTCGCTCCAGATGCAAAACTTGTTCTTTCATTCATAACGTAGAGAAAATATCGGGGCCCAGGAGATCCATTAAGATCACTCATCACTTTACGTGTACCTCCGCCAATATTATTTACTGCATAACTTGCACTTATTGCAATAAGTTATACAACTTATTTTTTGACGTTTATATATATGATATATAATTTATACAATATATATAAATAATACAAACACAATACAATATAATAACATATATACAATTTATATAATTTATACAAAGTTATACAACTTGTTTTTTGTCGTCGCAAGAAGTCTTTGGTTACAATGTCTATGACGAGCGTTTAGTTATTTGAATACTTCCTCTATCAGGAAGGCCAGTGCCAAGTATCAACGCTGACTGAAAATAGGTGACGTCACCTTACGATTAGATTGTAATAGAGTTGATAGATTGTAGAACAAAACGTGTAATGCTGAATTGCCGTCAATAAAGTTTTTCGGCGAAACAGGGAGACGACTAGGTGACCGATTCCGAGAACACCTTCGCGAAATGTGCACCTACTATCAACAAGTTTTTGGTACAACTATGGGTTCGCCGTCTCTGCTGTCATTGCCAACATGGTAATGGAAGACGTAGGCATAGGAATAGAATAGGCATTCCACTTAGGTATTAATGACATTCTGTGGCGTGATATTCCTCGTTTCGGCTGAGTAGCCACTAAGCATGAGCCCTATCAATATTTTCACTTTCCATCGAGGCCTTAAAATCCGAATTATTAGACCTCGAAATCAAACTGCACTCACTAGAAGTTCTATCCTCCATATTTACTTTGCTAAGTGTACAAACGTGTGATGTTCAAGCCACATGATCAAATTCAAAGCACTTATGGCGGTATTCCGAAAACGTGACTTTTTAGCCGTCAGTTACCCCTTAATGCTTAGTGTCATGCTGGCCGTGAGTATTTACTTGCGTCACGTCGCCCTTACAATGTTATCGGTTTGAAACGATCGGTAGTTCAATAACAAAATCTTTAAAAAAATCATTTATAGTGGCGATTGTCTACCCAAAATATAAACGACGACAATATTTCCGTCTTAAAATACAGTATCTAGGAAAAGAACGCATATTTGATAACATCTGAAAGATCCTCGAATTTGTTTTATATCCAACGAGTGACAGACTAGACTTTGATCCGGCCTGTGACATGATAGGGTCCACAGAAAGCAGCGAGCGGTAGAGTTTTGTTCCTCTCTACCTCTCTTTCCATCCTTATAATAACAATCAAGAAAATTATTGGTTACGGTACTTTGGTTTAGTGTTAACTGCTAGCGGAGCAAGCACATCGATAGAGTAGTTCCTTCAGTGGAAACGCCTCATAAAACCATTGAGGACGAACGGTGTAAACCAAGCGCTGGAAGATTTCCTTGCAAGGAAAAGTCGAGAACTAAATGAATGTCAAGGTAATTTCTTGAGCCGATTGTAAAGAATAAAGTAAACATGAATGGTTTACAAACTTTTTTTTTATATAATTTCCGGATTTCATTTAAAGAAGTAATAACTGAAATAACTCAAATTCGACTCTTAACATTATCAGAGGTTAAAAAATCCGTTGTTACAACATAAATTGCGATAGTTAATGCATACTTGCTTACCTAACTGTAGTGATTAATGCCTCTGAGATTTCTGTTACTTTTATAATAACCAATTAACATTTCTAAGCAGGTGTTATTATGTCACTCACATGAAATTACTCTAAAGAACTGTATTTTTTTTAATAAAGTAATTTAATCTACAGAAACGTCGAAGAAATATTCAGTTTCTCAAGGGGTTCATCCTAAATATTGCTTAAAAACGGCTCGACTCTAAGAGTAACTAGTACACAAAACAGACTTCAGCCGGTAGAAATGAGGTACGATTTCAGTTATGAGAGGAAGGAAAAATTTCTGAAAGAAAAATGTCCCACTATTGCGTATTTTTGAGAGCGATCAGAATTAGCGAGGGCGTGTCAATATAGCCGAGCTCGATATTAATACCTTTTATGAAGTAATTAAGGCAGTATGCATTCTCTGAATGTTCCCACGCAGATTTATTGTATCAATAAATCCACAACTGTTGCATTGCGTAAGGGTAATAAACCGTAACCCGCTTGAGATGTTGCTAGAACAAATTCGTGAAAAGTGTGCACATCAGGAGTCTGTTGCTAAAGAAATCAAAATAAATTCAAATTTCTGTTCATGTCGCGGTTAGGTAAGTCCTTGCCTAATGATTCCAAAAACGATTCCTTAAATCCTCTGTTAAATGATTCCAGCGATCAATTCAATAACTTTGACAGTGAGTTGTTTGATACATTCCTGATATTGTTCGCTTGGCTAGTAATAGATCGAAAAAGAATTTAAATGTAAAAAATGTAAAATTTTTGTTTCAATTAAGAAGCATCTTGCGACAACTTCATCAAAGTCATAGATCTGTATTTTCGCAGAATTTCCCACTTGCGTTGCTGAGAAGTCCACACATGCTGATTCAATAATCTTGGACTGTATACTTTTTCATGATTCAGGCTTTATTGACGACAATTCAGCATTACACGTTCCGTTCTGCGATCTATCTACTCTATTACAATCTAACCTGAGGGTTCCGTGACCTATTTTCAGTCAGCGTTGATACTTGGCACTGGCCTTCCTGATAGGGGAAGTATTCAAATAACTAAACGCACGTCATAGAAATTGTAACCAAAGACTTCTGTTTTTCAGAAGATAGCGACTCGAATGCCCTAAGCTTAGTATATGACGGCGATGGGGATGGTCTAGAATCTTCAGGAGAGTCTGGGCCACGTCCTTAACAATATGAGCTGCGTAGGGTTCACCGAAGCGATCCGCACGAACACAGTGTTGACAGCGATGCGACCTCCTCGGAAACTCAGACTGGTATCTAATTTACTGTGTGATTTACTTGTATTTGATATGAAAATCCAATAAAGCAAGGGCACAATCCAAAGAATGCAACAGAAATTTTTTAAACCCGCTGAGCTTCCGAGGGTGTTTTGTATAAAATTGTCAAAGGTGCGAGTGTGGAACTTGTCAACCAATGCCGACAACTCGTGAAAGTGTTTGTTGTACGGAAATCGGGCAATTGTGGCAAAAAGTAGAGGAGCGAGGGTCTGAAACCCAGATAAGTTGTATCACTGAGTATCCAGGTTTTTAGTCAATTTGCCTCGATTTCTGGGTGCTAGAGACGGCCTATTACATGTACAGGCAGCAGTAAGGCACAGAGAATCACACCGGAAACGAGTAAGCTAAATGTTTTCCGTTTCATCTGTTTCGTTACATTTTGAGATCGATTTGCTTCAGTTGTTTCTGTCATTGATTTAATAATACAGTACTACAACTAGCTGTTTATAGTTCCGAATAATTTGCTTCTGGTGGGGCCTGAATTGTCGGTACAACACCAGGAAGAAAAATGACTGCTACAAACAACAGAATGTTCGAACGGCTCGACGAAATCGGCTATTTTCATTTGAACAAGTTTCACAAATTGTGGCTTCAAATTTGCGTCATTTGGAAATATTTGCGTTGTATGCTCAGTTTTGTTTGAATCAGTACAAAACTGGACAACACAACGCTTTACCATTATGAAAAAACTGAGTATATTGAAGCAAACTGTAAGTAAAAAAATCGTGACGAGACCGGTAAACAACGGCTGTGGAAAAGACTCCGTGTCTCACGCAATTATTAAACGAAACTTTGTAGGGTCCACCCGTGACGTCACAAGAAAGATGGCG